ATTGTATGTTAATCAGAAAGCGCACATAAATACGAGCAGAATAAAGTAGAGGCCTATTATTAGGGCGGGTTCAATCTCTTTTAGGTTGGATTTGTACCTTCATCCCCGAACCCTTATTTGGTTCATGACCTTATGGAGTTGACGATCTCTTGGATTGTTAAGGGGTGTAACCTTCACCTCGTGAACGGTTTACAAGTTCCTTAAAAACTTGTTGGCGACTCTTTTGCTCTATCTTCTTCCCTTTTGGACGCCAACGTACTTTAGTGTATGATCACAGTGGGGTTCAAGCTAGTGGGATTTTTAAAGGCTTGAAACTATTCCCTACAGTTCCAAAGTTGAATTTTCCAATATGAGTTAAAAAGAAAAAAAAAAGCAAAAGAAATTTTTTTATTAATGCTCAAATGTTCTAATTGAAGGTTGTTCAAAGAAAAAGAAAAAAAAAAAGAAGAAAAAAATTTCAAGTAGAGAAAAAAAAGAATGAGTTCTAAGTTTGTTTTTCACTCAAAGTTCTACATTATCATATTTTTATGAGTGATTATTGTAAGCGTTGGGATTGTTTATGATGATTAAAGTTGTATTTGGTGGTTTTAGTTGGAGTTAGTTATGTTGATGGAGATGTATGATCATCATTTATTTTGATCATGGGTTTATTAGGATTTGGCTCCCTTAATGCATAGTTTTTCTCTCACATAATCCCAAATTTATCCTACCTTTACCCTAGCCTTACATTACAAGCTTTAAAGACCTTCCGACCTTGTGCATAGAAGTTATGTAAATGTGAAAGTGTTGTTTATCAATGCAAGTTATGACTTGGCATATTTCGAGTCGACTAGTAGGATGAGCGTTCATTGTTTTTATACACACGAGAGTGTGAGTTGGGAGGGCATTGTTCACATTAAAAGGTTTGGTTGGAGAGCGATCGAGTACATCTTTTACTCGCCACATAAATGAGAGTTGAGTGTGTGAGCACTAGTCTTGAATTCTATATGCTCTTGTGGTTTTCTCTACTTGACAATTGTTGGGGAGGAAGGGTGATTAGATGAATAAGATTGATTGATGTTGAAGAATGTTCATTAGATTTGCCTTGAATCGTTGGTGCTTGATTGATTATTGGGGTGAAGTATGTTTTATATGTTCATTGATGAGCTCTTTGCTTAGGGACAAGCAAAGGTTTGGCTTGGGGGAGTTTGATATGTCCATTTTATATAGTGTTTTACCCCCGTCCCTTTGTCGTTATTAGTAGTGTTTTTGGCTCTTTCGGGCCACTTTTATTACTAATTTGTGTTTTCTAGTGTTTTCGTAGTTTTAGTTGTATTTTACAGGAAATTGCACTCTTGGAGCATTTTCCCGGGCTTTATGGATCAACTACGGAAGCTAGAAGGACACGACCACTTTTGGAGCCCAGGATCGGTGAGAGCCGATGATTAAGGGCTCGGTAATTGGAATCCCGAGGCTTTGGACCGAGTATTCAAGACCCGAAGAGGAAATCCGGATTGGACCGAGAAATCAAGCCCAATCGAAGTCCGAGCCTCAAAGTGAAGCAAGGGCCCGATCGGGCAACCTCTAGCACGATCGGGTGTGGCGCTCTAGTGTTATGCGTGGCTTATAGCGCACCCGATCGTACGAGCCTCTAGCACAATCGGGCGACGCTGATGGGAAGGAACGCAAAGAAAAAGGCGGGCCCGATCGGGCGGCCCTTCGCCCGATCGGGCGCGCGTTTTTTATAGGACCTGATTAGTTAGCCTTAATTTTTGTTTTAGAAAAACGTTTAAGTATGTTTTTTGTACGGATTTTAGATTACCTTCTTTCTTAGACTTTCTCTCTCTACTTAGAATATTTTCTCTCTCTTAAATTCTCTCTCAACTTTTGTTCTTAATTACTTCCATTAATCCAGTTTTCTTTTGGTAACAATTTCTTCCCTTTTAATTTCAGCTATTTTACTTGCTTCTATGATTATGCTTTTATTTAATTATTTGATTAGTTTAGTTATGATGATGCGTGAGTAATTTCATTCTAGGGTTTATGGGGATCCATAATTAATATGAAGGGATAATTTGTTATTATTGATTATTGATATTGCATGATAATTTCTTATTGAATTATTTTAATTCTTTGCAAGTAGATTATGAATCGAGCAGATGTAATTTAATTGTAAATGTTTGGCAATATTGAATTGATGAATCGAGCAGATGTTAATTTAATATTAAAGGCTATTTTCAATAGGAACTTAGATCTAGTAAATTGTGAGAGCTTGTTAGATCTATGTTGATTAATAAATTGCGAGAGCCTGTTAATAATGTTATTTGTGCATTGTTAATTATTAATTACTTCGTTTTATCCCGGAATATTAATTATTGGTGAACCTGTGACCCTAGGCTTCCTTATTATTGTTTCTTTTCTCCCTAAACTTATTCTTCGTAGTATAGAATTTATTCCCAAAAATATTGGTTACTTAGATAATTTAGATTATAATAAATAATTAGGAGTAAAAAGACTTGTTTCCCTGTGGAGTTCGACCCTACTTCCCTATCTACATTAGTTAGAGGATTTAGGTATTACTTTTGATTAGGGGATACGACTTTACCTTGTCAAAAAAACTGAAATTGCATGAGAAGGGGGTTACTTTGATATTTTCTGCTGCAATAAGAAGTTCAGAAATATCTGTTTAGAACTTTAATTTTGTATTGCTGACCTTTTTCTGCTTTAGTGATTATTGCATGTTTATGTTAGGTATATACCTTTTTCAAAGTAGTTTAATTTATGATTTTTTATTTTCACAATGTAGGAGAAAGATCTTGAAAAGCAAGGAATACATGTCTCAAACGTGCCTCGACATTTGACTTGGATTAAAGCTCATTCTCACGTCAAGAATGGAGTTCTGACCGTTGACAATCCTGCTGATAAAGAAATCCATGATGCAATAGTAAGTTAGCAACAAACTGATGCAATTTCTTGGTGTTTTGGTAACCACCTGCATGTAATATAAGTTCCTTTACGGCTAAAAATAAATACTAACCGTTTATGATCTTGGCCTCGTTTTACAGATTAGATTGGAGGCCCAAGTACAAAAAGGTGAAATAGTTGCTACAGGTCGAGATGATATCTTGTCAAGAGCTTTAAACAAACCAGAGCATGGAGGTTCTGTTAGGGCTGTTGGATCATGCATAACTAACAAGGAGTACTTTGGATACAACAAACCAAACGCACCTAGCGAATTACATGCTAGAATGAATGCGATGAACTCAAGGATGGCAACAATGAGCAAGCAGCAAAACTTTATACTTTCCTTCATGATGTCATGCTTAACCCAAGAGCAATTAGGAGCATTCATGGCTGGTGGTGCTCAGCAAGGTGTTTTTGGTGGCGATCTTGCAAATTCAGGTGGGCTGCTTGGTGGGGAGGCATCAGGTTTGGGTGGTTTCCTTGGTGCTTTTGGGAACCATTTTTGTTCTGGTGACATGAGTGGTTCTAGTAGCCAAGGGGCAGCTGGAAATGTGTTGGATGCTGCTCATTTAGACAACTCATTTGGTAATGGTGTTCCTCTTACACAACTCTTGATGGGAGGTATGGAAAGGCATCACGTTGAAAGGCATCACTTTGGACATGATTCACCTGTGGATAAATCTCACGAACAAGCCTATATTGAGCAAAGAATTGCGACAAACTCAGAACCTCAGTACACAAAAAGCCCAATCGTGGTCCATCCTCAACTTCAGAACCTCGAGACAGCGGCAGAGGCAGAGGCATACCATGTTCCTTGGCCTGAGGAGAACCATATGATTCCAGTTGAGCATACTCCAATCCCCCCACATCAAAGTCAAGTTGTGAATACCAACAGCAACTATACTTTTCCCAAGGTAATACCTGCTTGAATTATGGGCTTTGTTTTCAAGTCTCATATAATGCTAAGGTCATTTAAGCGAGATTTCATGTTTGATATCTGGTTAAGTCTTTTGTTTTCAGGGATGGAGTGATTGCCGCTTGGCAATTGAGGGAAGCGACAAAGAGCTACAAATTGTAGCTAACGGAAAAGTTTACATAGAAAACAACACAGAAGTTCTTGGTAATCATAACATATCGTTGCCCCATGGTCATCGTCGAGTAACCATTACAGAAGATTTAATGCCTTCTGCTCCCTTGCCATGTCCCAACGATGAATTGATCTTTGTTTGTCAAGCTAAGAAGGCTTTCACAGCTTAGCCAAATCATTTGATACTGCCCCCACAGGTAAAGGAGAAAATCTGCATTCTTTTTCTACTATGTTGTTGCTACTGCATTCTGTATTCTGGTAATCTGCATTCTGATAATTTAATAAAGTTGCAGATATGTGCTACTAATTTGTAGATTATGTTGGATTGTTGATTAGCGTTAAGGAGAGGATGTGCCAAGATTCAATCAAGGGAGATTAAGAATTTCAGATACAATAAAGAAAAAGTTGATTAAAACCATAATTAGTTTAAAATCAAGGGAGATTAAGAACTAACCCAATTCTTCTGGAACATGCCAATTTTCAATTCCATCAGCTCAATCATTATATGAACATGTATATTGACCATTCTGTTTGATTTCTTTCAGCTTCAATAGGACACTTTAGAGATTTACTATCTCTATTCTTTACAATTCATACCATTATGATGTCACACCTTCTACAACAATTTTAAATTCCAAATTGTAACCTCTTATTGTTAAGTAAAGTAACTCTTAGGTGGTTTAAAAAAAAGTACTAACTCTTAGGTGGCCTTTTCCTCTATTATTCTGCATAGTCGTTCTAGTGACTGCTAGGTATATGATTTGTAGCTTTCCCTTTTTATTTATGAGAGCATTTTGTTTTAAATCCTTTGTGAAAAACTGGTGCTCTACTGCTCTGTTGTCTCAAAGTCCCCTGTAATATGTAATAAAAATAATTAGCTCTTATGCTTTGCAGGAACTAGGAAGCTTATTGTGTAAAGTTAACCACCTAATTAAGCTTTCTTAAGGCATGTTCCAACTTCAATTGCCACTACTTATGGTAATTCTGGCATAATTTTCAACTAACAGTCCCTATTTCTGGATGAAAAACCGTGCTAAACCTCGTTCAATTCTCTAGTCTCTACTCTTTAATTTGCAAAATAAATCTAGCTTGAAATTCTTTGAGCAGGAGCGTTTTACTCTACGATACAGGGGGTATACACATCACTTGGAAGAAGCAATATAGAAACTCAAAATTTGTTTTACTGAAATTTGCATGCATAAACAGATTTGCAAAATTAGTCGAAACTTAGCTTAAATCGCAGTAGCTTACTTTGCTTGATTAAGTGGTTTTTAGATTCATGTGCAAGCTTTCTTCTTCTAAAGCTTACATGTGTGTTGTTTTGTGTGAAACCATATTATTAAGGCGGACAAGAAACTAGATAAGGAGTTGAATATGACCACACCATCCCCACGATCAACATCCTCCCAAGCATCAACCACTCGTACCTATGTTGTTACCGACAAGGATCGTGAGAAGGTAACATCTACTTGGATGCGTGTTATGAGAAAAAAAGTTGTAGGAATGCAAAAGACGGGTGATACCATCTCCATAACTATCCCGGAAAGCGTGTTTCTTAACGAAAATGGGTTGGATGTTTCACTTGACTTTGAAGACGTGCTTGATTGGTGTTTCCAAAGGGAGGTCGGAGAATCGCAAATGAAGGTCTTCATGAAGTAAGTTTCCATATAATATAGGTTCTAATTTTAATATTGTTTTTTTTTTTGCCCATTAACTAATATTCATATGAATTTTCATGGGACAAGGCACCTAAAAGAACGTTGTCAAAAAGAAGGTGTCTCAGGAATGTATGGGTTCTGTGACTGTAATGTTCTTTCACCATTGAAACCGACAACGGGTGAACAAGTTCCATCTGACTACTTAGCCCATGATTTTGGAACCAATGAGGGGAAAAATGTTAATCAATTATTCTTTTCTCCTTATAATGACAAGTAAGTGTAGTTTCTTTTTATTTTTTTTATAGATTTGAGTTATGTTAAATCCTCAAATTTTAATTAATTCCATTACTATGTATTTATTTTACAATATGTCTAGTCTGCATTGGACGTTAGCGGTGATTAGTCCATGGAATGGGTTGATGTATTGGTTAGATCCACTTGGAGCAGAAAACGAAATCAACTCATTGGCACAAAAAATCATCAATGAGTATGTACTACTAAAATATTCACTTGGTTAACTTCTTGTGTTTTTATTGTCTAATCAAAATTAATGCAACTGTGCCATCTTGAAATGATTTTGTAGGGGAATAGTTAAATTCAGCATGAAGCATCGAAAAGATATCAAGAAAATAAAAAAAGAATCCAAAAATAGGGTGGAAGCAACCACGTGTAAGTCATTATTATTTTTAGCATATTTCATACCTAGTAGTGTAAAATCAGATTCAAAACTGTGTTAATGCACTAGTACAAAATTGGGCTTAAGTAACACTCATTGGTAACACAAAAAAAAAATTTGGATTATTTGATTTTTACGTAACACTTTTGTAACATTGTCGTATTAAGTAACATTTTTTGGAACACATTAATATTATGTAAGATTTTACGGTAGCATTTTAATATTAGGTATCACTTAGTTGTAACATTTAATTTATGCTCAATCCTTTTTATTTTTTTCTTTATTAAATATTTTTTTCTTCTAATCTCATTGTAGAAAAAAATGAGTGGTACCCTTTATTTTTTTAAACTTCTCATTCTATTCCATCTCCTCCTCTCATTCTTGCTCAAATACCCGCTCTCTCTGAATGAGTTTAGATTATACAATTAATGGAGTCGCCTTCATCACTAGTAGCGTCATCCTCTGAATCATCATCATCGATCAATGCCATCATTTGAATAACAAGCAACATCATCAAATGAATCGAGAGCGAAGGATTCACAGCATACGATACTACAACGGTGTTCATTACTTCATTATATCTTTAGTTATACAGTTCATCAATTCATTATTGCCTCGCGAAATTCATCACAAAATCAGTATTTTTCTTTCAATTTGTCATCTAGTGTTTCAATTGTCACAAATTCGCCATCTGGGGTTTCAATCGTCACAAAATCACAAAACCAGTAGCCCAGTTGAACTAGTCATCTCTGATTTCATCTAATTCGCACTTCCAATCAGGTATTCTTCCTAATTTGTGAAATTAAGGCTTGTTTCTCAGTGAAATTAAAGGAAATTTTCTTAGCACTTCAACAAATCAGAGAAAAAGCTTTAAAAGACGGTCAAACAAAGAAAGAGGAGCCGATTTCTAGGTTTGGTTTGTTTTTCTTCTTCAATAGTTGATTTTTGAACTATATCTATAATATCTGGAATTTTTACATTGTTGGACTTCATTTATGTTTTAATCGCAATTATCAGCAACATTAGACTATGAGTTTTTCTATCAAGCTGTTGGATGTCAACATCATAGCTTCTTAATTTATTGTTCATGTTAATTATATTAAATTCTTCCATCATGCAATTTGACTGCATTTAAATTTTGCATGAAATTAGTCATAAAGTTTGATGAGAGTAGTAAATTGACATTTGAGTTAAATTCTATGATTCTGACAGAGTATTTTTAGAATTTCAGGCAAGTTTTTGCATAGGCAATGACAAAGAGCTCAAAGGAGGTATCAACCAATACCAAATTTAAAGGTTTATATAATTGTCAATCCACTATACTCTTTACTCTTATATGCTTTATAAGGCAAATAAGTAGTTGTGAAAATTACTACTGATTTGAACCTTGATTGTGTAATGTGTGTAAATTGGCCATTTAAAGAGGTATATAATTGGAATGGGAGTTTTATATCTACGCTTGGCGGTTTGGGTGCTGGTAGTTGCTACTATATCAGTGACAATTATTTCTGAAATTTTATTTTTACTCATTGCTTGTATGTTGCTGCTTGTTAGCAACTTAGCATATCAAGACTACTTGAAACATTGGTTGTATAGTATAAGTCTAAACTCTAATTACGACAAGTATATAAACCATTGAATTCTGGTTGAAAGGTACATAGTACCTATTCCTTTAGTTGATTAAATTGCATGATGGTGTGGATCAGATTCTCATTAACCCCTTGATATTGTCTAAAAAGCTTACGAAAGTCCTACTTATTTTAACTACTGCAGTAATTCAAGATAGACTTATGAGTAAAATAGTATATCTAATTAAGATCATACTAATATCTACTATTTTTTTTAAAAAAAATCTCACCTTAATTTAATTTCTTATGTTATTTAGTAGAATTTAGAGTAGTTTGCATAAGCACATGAGTTTGCTTAAGCACATGAATTTTCATAAGTGGAGTAAGGAAAAGTGGGAGGAGGAAATGAATAATGTGGTGTTGTTTGATAATGATACTAGCTGAGTTGTTGCTAATGAAGTAACCATTCTGAGTGTTTCTGGTACGCTTTCTTTCAATTTTCATATTCTCTCTTTTGAATTTTGAGTTTAAATTTAAGATATTTATTAGTGATTATTGATTTAATTTGGGAATTTTGATCGATCTGATTATTTAGCTTAGGATATAATAGGATTTTGAAATGTATAATAGAAAAATATACATGGGTTTGTTAATGAGTGAAAAGTATATGCTATCATGAATAATTCTGTAATTATATAGTTATTTTTAGATGGGCGTGAATGGAAAAGGAACGATTATGGAAAACTTCTATTCTAAATTTGTTTGACAGTACACCAGATTTTCTGTTCAAATATTTTTCTAGCATATAACTATTCAAAATTTTGTATTCAGGATTAATATGTTAGTTAAGGTCTCAATTACATAGCTCATAAATTTTTGTATATGTTTCTCGACCTTGATCATGTGCAGATAAGCTCTAATGGCTATCACATTGTATGTAGACATTCATTACCCCGTAGCGGGATAAACCAGGTTGTTCATGATTAGCAATCGATTAGCTATTAGGGGCTACAAGAATCTATTTTTTCACATTAGCGTATGGGTTCCTGAAGTCAAAAGTTTTATGGGCTTTCCTAGTCTGGCTTGGTTTCAATTGTTTTTGAACTGGTGGCAATGCTTAGAGAAGCCTCCCATTATCGAGATATTCTTCCAAGAATATACTCCAGTATATTCCCTTGATTATTCTGCTCCACTCACCTCTATCTCTATCAATTTCTCTCTTAAATGATTATTTGAGCTGAGCTCTCTAATAATAATGGTGATCAAGAACATAGGCAGCAGGGCTCGTAAAAGACTGGCATAAAGTATTATCTTGATTAATTATGCTGGTCACGTGGTTCTTGAACCTGAGTCTCCTCCTTTTAGACCAGTTTCTGAGCTATCCATTGATCTATTCAGAAATTATAATCATGCTAAGGTATAACTTAATTTCCTTTTTTGTTGGCAGGACATAACAACCCTATATACAGTACTCTTTATCCAATCTACTAACAAAACTTTTGAAGCTATAAAGGTAATGTTTTTCATTCTTATTTGCGGGCTGTCATTCTGATCTTTAACTAAGATTATAGTGATCTTATAAAGTCTTATACTGTGGATAATTGTAGGTTTTTAGATCTGAGATTGTAGTGAATAATTAATTAACTTTCTGTTTAAGTGTGCTTAGCATCTCCATTTTATCTGACGAACCTTGTACTGATGCACTTGTGTATGCATTCCAGAGGATGTGACTCCCATCTCAAACAGCCAGTACTTGCAGAAAGGGAGGAACAAACAGAGGAAGGAGAAGGTTGTGCCTTACTGATACTTAGCCTTAAGCATTGTATATATATATATTTTTTTTTTTTTTCGTGAAATTGTAATATTACAAGCATTTATTAATAAAAATATCTAATTTTATATATATAATGGTTTGTTTATCATAGTTACTATTTTTTTAGGCATAGAGGGTAAACCGATGCCCTTAACGGCCCATGAACCAGTGTCTATAACCTCTATCATGGGCGACCCCCAAAAAGGCGATTAAATCAGTGCCCTAAGCCGGTTTTGAACCGGTGTCTATTGTACATTACTTTGAATAAAGTGATACATAAAGACAAATATAGTGATACTATATGTCAAAAGATGATTAAAAAATGATACTTAACAATCAACCAAGTGTTACATTAGTTTGCAAAAGTGTTACACAATGTCAAATAAAGTGTTACTATATGATTGAAAAATGTTACTAAAGATAAGCTAGTGTTACATAAGAAATAAAAAGTAACACTCTAAAAATGATACTAATAATATAAAAAAGTGTTACATAAGAGGGCTTATAGTAACACTTTTAAAAGTGATACCACACGTTGCCCAAAGTGTTACATAAGACCATAGGTAACATGGGCGGATGTATCACCCACTAAAGTGATACATATTGTCTATAATAACACTTTTATCACTTTATGTAACACTATTTGGGTGTTACTTAAAGTTAGTTATGTACTAGTGATGGTTATTTTTTTGTATCAGTGTCCTCTACAATCTGCATACACAAAGCACTGTGGTTACTTTGTATGTCGCTATATGCTGGACATTATACAAAACAGAGTATTATGGATTTCTGAGCAGGTATATTCAACATACATGTCATTTAAGTTGGTATTTTATTTATGCATATATGTTAACCCCTCTGTCTCCCCCCCCCCCCTCTTGCATTTCCTTTGGTATTGAAGATTACTCCCATCTTGATAATTGGACTGTGTTCATCAATTAAAATTTCACTAGGCATGATAGTCTCAAAGTTGAGAACTTGAATTGCTTGCTTTATTGATGGCCTGTGATTGTAGTCAGGATAGGCATACCACTGCCATAAAGATCAGTGGCTTAATCTTTTGATCAGTGGCTAAATTCCATGTGATTAAGCTTTTGATCAGTGGCTAAATGAAGCTCACCATTGTCATAAAGATCCCACACCCACTGTACTAATGCAACGAAGCGCGCTCTACACAGATAAATTCTAGACAACAAGGAGATAAGCAAGGTAGAAGACAGTTGATTGAATTGATTTGGCTGAAAGGCTTGAAGAGTTTTCTACTACAACTAAGGCTACTACTAAGATGTTACAACTTTTCTGAATGAATCCCTCTTTCCTTCACTCTAGCTATTTAAGTCTCTTCTAACATAATACATGTGACTAGCCTTAATTACTAATAACAACTAAATTTGTCTTCTTCCCTTGGTGCCAAAATAAAGCTCTGAAAAGTGAATCTGTTCTGATTACATGCCCTCTGCTGCTGGCTGTTGTTGTTGCTTGTCTTGTGGTATGCTCGGTTTGTTTGTGTTGCTTGTACCCTCCTGAACTTGTTGCCTTCTCCTGTGATATGTGTATACAATAGGCGGCCTTGATTGGTTCGTTACAACTAATCCCTTTCCTTGATGTGTTCCTGCCATAAACAAGTAGGAATTCACCTTTATCATGGCACCAACCTATAAGCTGCACCAGGTTCCTACACCTTAGCCTGCTAATAATTTTAACCTCGGTACTATACTTTTTTTTCCCCTGTCTACCGCCCCTAGAGATTTTTTCACCGCGATTAGCATATCCAAGTCCATAAGATAGCCCTTGTAAACGCCTCCAAATCCTCCTTCACCCAACTTTCATTCATTAGAGAAATTTTGTGTGGCTGATTCAAGCTCAACGTATGAAAACCTTCTCGGTCCAGCAGCCCTCTCGAGTTCCTCATTGAATTAGGTATCCTCTGTATATACATTCAAAATTTTAGCTTGCAGAACAGTAGAACTAGTTAAATCAGATGAAAGGAAACATAGTTGAGTAGAGTTCAGAACTCTTTGTTATCAATGACCTTTCTAGCATCCATCTGCAGCTTAAAAAATATTTTCGGCTGTTTTAATTTTGGACTGAGAAATTTGTTTGTTGATAATATGCTAATAGCTTTGTATTCTGGATTTAAGTAAGAAAGCAGGCAAAGTAGCTCTTTAGCTCAATTGTAAATGGATGTAATCTAATTTGTTGTTATTTCATAACTTTTATGTAATTATATATCTTTATTTACTCATTTAGTAATGGCATATGTTGTAGATTTTTCCCAAAGATCCTTGCACATATTCTTCAGAAGAAATTGACGAGATTAGAGACATATGGATTCAATATGTTCTTGATCATGAGGAGCCGGAAGAACCTTAGTGATTGGTGATTACAACATGATTACTGTTAGTCTTGATACTTGAAAAATTTCTACATTTTGTATTTTGATACATTGGCAATTAGCTATTACTGTGTACATATATTATTACTGTGTTGGATATATATATATATATATATATATATATATATATATATATATATATATATATATATTTGAATGCTATTTGTATATAATATATTAGCAGGTTCAAGGATTATTTTTGGTGCAATTTAATAATATTGAGCAGGATATATATACAGGATTATTTTTGGTGATTACAGGTTGGATTAAAAAAAAAAAAAAGGAATCATTTGGCGCAAAAATTTAATGCAGCAGGTCGGATTTAAAAATTTGATTATTCGAAAGAAAAAAAAATTTAAAAAAATTACCCATTTGAGACCGGTTATCATACATGCATGGTCTGTACACAAACGCTGTATATTCTTTTTTAAAAAAAGAGAGACCGCCTAACTAAGAAAGTGGTCTTAGTTATTTCAAAAAGAGAGACCGCCTAAGTAAAAAAAGCGATCTTAGTTTGGTATACAAGAGACCGCTTTTCTGACAAAAACGGTCTCTTATGCTTCTACAATTTCAAAATATCAACCACCCAAAGAGACCGTTTTTCTTAGATAATAGGTCTCTGGTATAGCAACTTAAGACCGCCTCTTTACAAGCGGTCTCTTAGCCAAAGAGACCACTGAGCTAGAGACCGCCTCTAAAGCAGTCTCTTTGGCCTTTTTCAACTGTTCTCTTTGGCCTTTTTTGTAGTAGTGGGAGAAGAATATACCTAAATATATGCATTCATTGTCAAAAAAATTAAGATATACTATTTGAATAATCATCAATTTCTTCAATTTGAGGTAGATCTGGAAGTTGATGCAAGGGAGAAGGGTAAGGCGGTCGAAATCAAAGAAATTTTATATCACATATAGGAAATTAAAAAAAACGAACAATCAAACACGGATGTTGGCAAGCTGAGACGATAACGGTGGTGATTAATGATGAAGATGGTGATCCGAATTTGAAGTTAGAGAAAGGAATGAAGTCAGAGAAGAGGAAGTGAGAGGTGAGAGGAGTAAAACGGATGGAGAAAAATGAGGAGTTAGGGTTTGAGATTTTTTTTAACTTCTCTAAAATTTTAATGTACCGCCAAATCGCCAACCTTGAAATTTTGTTGTACCGCCAAATCTGAAATGTGCTCCGCCAAATCGCCAAATCTGAAATGTGCTGTTTTTTATTTAGGTTAATTCGTATTCGTGGATCAGTTATAGGTGATTAGGTTCAAGTCCCCTCCCAATTGTTATTGCGAAGGATCGAACACAGGTTCATTTAGTAAATTCATGTTTCATAAACGATTCATGAACACGGCTCATTTATTAAACGAGTTGATAAACGAGCATTTCGTGAATGAGTGTTTAATAATAAACGAGCTTCTCTAATTAACGAGCTTTATATTTTTTGATATTTAAAGATCTCAAAAACAACATAATAATTAAATTTTAATTATAAACTTAAGAGTTAAATTAACAATTGTGAAAGAGTTAAATTTATGATCAATTTATATCAAATCTATATTCCACATAAAAGCACTTTACGTTGTTGTTCATGAACTTATCTGAATGAGTATATATATATGTTCGTGTTCAAGCTCATTTATTAGATGAGCTTCAAATTTTGTTCAACCTCAGCTCATGTATTAAATAAACGAACATGAACAAGGTTCAACTGAGCTCAAACCCGAGTAGTTTATTGATCGGCTCGGTTCCTCATTTACACCCCTACCTATATCAACTGATTCAATAAGCTATGTGTGAATGTATTTGACTTGCTCTTACTCAATTGATTCAATTAGCTATGTGTGAATGAATTTGACTTTCATCTATATCAATTGATTCAGTTACCTATGTATGAATGAATTTGACTTTCATCTTACTCAATCGATTTAATTAGCTATGTGTGAATGAGTTTAACTTTCATCTCATTCAATTGATTCAATTAGTAGTTAGGCGTGAGTGAATTCGACTTTCATTATTTAATTGATTTAATTAGCTATGTGTGAATGAATTTGACTTTCATCTTACTCAATCGATTCAATTAGCTATGTGTTTATGAATTCGACTTTCATATCATTCAATTGATTTAAATTACCTATGTGTGAATGAATTTGACCTTCATCTTACTCAATCGATTCAATTAGCTATGTGTGAATGAATTTGACTTTCATCTATTTCAATTGATTCAATTACCTCTGTGTGAATGAATTTGACTTTCGTCTTTTTTAATTGATTCAATTAGCTATGTGTGAATTCCACTTTCATCTCATTCAATCAATTCAGCTAGCTCTTTGTGAATGAATTTGACTTTCATCTATTTCATTTGATTCAATTACCTATGTGTGAATGAATTTGACTTTCATCTATTTCAATTGATTCAATTAGCTCTTTGTGATTGAATTTGACTTTTATCTATTTCAATTAATTCAATTACCTATGTGTGAATGAATTTGACTTTCATCTGTTTCAATTAATTCAATTACCAACGTGTGGATGAATTTGACTTTCATTCATTTCAATTGATTCTATTAGCTCTTTGTGACTGAATATGACTTTAATCTATTTCAATTTATTCAATTACTTATGTGTGAATGAATTTGACTTTTATTTATTTCAATTGATTCAATTACCTATGTTTTAGTGTATTTCACTCTCATCTTATTAAAATGATTCGATTGGCTTTTTTGAGTGCATTTGACTTTCATATGAACCAATTGGATTTGTTGAATGCATTTGACTTTCACATGATTTAATAAAAATGCATTTGACTTTCATATGATCTAGCTAATTGACTTTGTTGAATGCATTTGACTTTCGCCTATTCCAATTGATTAAATTACTTATGTGTGAATGAATTTGACTTTCATCTTAATCAATCGATTCAATTAGCTATGTGTGAATGAATTCGACTTTCATCCCATTCAATTTATTCAATTAGCTCTTTGTGAATGAATTTGACTTTTATCTATTTCAATTGATTCAATTAGCAATGTGTGAATGAATTTGACTTTCATCTTACTCAATCTATCGATTCAATTAGCTATGTGTGAATGAATTAAACTTTCATCTATTTCAATTAATTCAATTACCTATGTGTGAATGAATTTGACTTTCATCTATTTCAATTGATTCAATTACCTATGTGTGAATGAATTTGACTTTCACTTATTTCAATTGATTCAATTACCTATGTTTTAGCGTATTTCACTTTCGTCTTATTAAAATGATTCAATTGGCTTTGTTGAATGCATTTGACTATCATATATATGAACTAATTGGATTTGTTGAACGCATTTGACTTTCACATGATTTAATAAAAATGCATTTGACTATCATATATATAAACTAATTGGATTTGTTGAATTC